AAGTTACAGAATACAATCAAAACATTAATATTAGTGTGAAATGAACAATAACTCACAAATAAGCACAAGTTGAAAAATAAAATGCTAATAAGCCATTTGTCGTTACTTAGGATACGTGTTATAGAGATTGGTGCCAGTTTTTCATTATAGTAATCAAAACCGTTTTAGTTGAAAGGATGTTTGTTGATTGTTTAGATCGATGTTGTCTTTCAGTATTCAGAGATTTAGTTTATTCGGAAGTTAAAGCTCTGTAGATACAGTTGTAAAAGTAAAGTTGTCATGACTTGTGGTTTTTGCAAGTGATCGAATTACTGAGTGACAAAGTTTTAATATAGGCAAATTACTTGATTCGTCTAAGTGTTTATAGTATTTATTTTTTAAATGGCACTTAATTTTCTCAATGTATGTGACCTTAAAATTACTACACGTATATATATATATATCTGTAGATGAGATGTGAGCAAAGAAATGTGGGTAGTCGGTCCTTATATTAAGTAAAGGTTTTATATTGTTGGGAAACCAGGCCTAAAGAAAAGTTTGAATTGGGATAAAAATTATTCATCAATCTAGATATTTGTCTTTTAGTCTATAAACTTTGAGAATTAGTGAACAGTAGAATGTAAATTAGAGGAGATTTGGGGATAGTGCATAGTTTGTTACGAGGTTAGAATTTGTTGCTAAAGAGCTTACATGTGGCGTTAGTTAGAAAGTTTGTAAATAATTTATTTTGTTTTAAAAGTTTATACATCAGAGTAACTATATATGCCGATCAAATTCCACTTTGAAATACTCATAATGAATACCAAGATCGCTGAAGTATAAGGCTGTGGTTTAAAAATCACTGAAGGCAGAGATTTATTACTTATGTTCAACAAAGACATTAGAGCTGTTATAAGGAGGGCTTTGAAACACAGTTATGACCCAGATGCAACAACATTATGACCCAGTTTGTATAGATACTAAACGCAGTTGTACTTTCAATTGCATATTTCAGTAAACTGGATCTAGGGGAGCTGTGGAATGCACTTGTATTTTTAAACCTTTCGCTACATTGTAGTTCAACAGAATGTAGGCACTATTCATCCAGCAGAGGTCCAATGTCTGTTTGTGTTCCATTCTTTCACAGACTGTGATCAAGCTTACAGGCCCGGCATGGCCAGGTGGT